TTGCAATATCCACGCAGGTTACCATCCCTGCTGTCTTCATCCTCACGATGCATAAAGGGTTGGTATCACTGGGAGGTTGTTTGGTCAAATAAACAGGAAGCCTACTGGAGAGGAGGTATTTCAGCTCATTCCTCCCAAATCCTCCCGTTCAGCATAGTAAACACTTCCTTTTGAACCTTGACTTGCCAAAGGCAATCAACTGATTCTCCAGCACCTCCTGCCACAACATCTACATGCCAAGAAGGGGTCCAACCTAAATTTTCCTCCTCTATCTTCTGCCCAGGCTGACCTCAATAGGTTTCTGGCCACCTCCCTGATTAAGCCCCTCCAGAAGTGGTTACACTTTTTCTCTGAGCAACCTGGTCTAGTGCAAGGTGTCCCTGCCCATGGCAGGGGGGTTGGAACTGGATGGTCTTTAAGGTCTCTTCCAACCCAAACCATTCTGTGATTCTATACACCAACGACCTCAAACCCAGCCCAGTCCACTGAAACCCAAGTGCCAAAAAACCATGGGATTTGACTGAAGTTTCTACAACCAGAGCAAAGCACAGCACTGAACCAAGGAAGGACCATTTCTGGGACATCAAGAGATTAAATTAAGATGATGAAGAAACCCTGCATGGTTATGCAATAGGATACGCCATAGGGTATGCCATGGGGTATACATTAGGATGTGCAATAGGGAGTGCAGTAGGGTGTGTGATAGGGTATGCATTAGGGTATAAAATAGTGTATACCTTAAGGTACACATTAGGATATGATGATCAGAGAGCTGGAGCTCCTCTGCCATGGGGACAGGCTGGGAGAGTTGGGGCTGTTCAGCCTGGAGAAGGCTCTGGGGAGACCTTAGAGCACCTTCCAGTGCCTGGGGGTGCCACAAGGAAGCTGAGGAGGGACTTTTTACAGGGGTCTGTAGTGACAGGACAAGGGGTAACAGGTTTAAACTGAAAGTGGGGAGGTTTAGATTGGATATCAGGAAGAAATTCTTCCCACAGAGGGTGGTGAGGCACTGGGACAGGTTGCCCAGAGAAGCTGTGGATGCCCCATCCCTGGCTGTCTTCAAGGCCAGGCTGGATGAGGCTTTGAGCAACCTGGTCTGTGTAAGGTGTCCCTGCCCATGGCGGGGGGGTTGGAACTGGATGATCTTTAGGGTCCCTTCCAACCCAAACCATGCTGTGATTCAATTCTATTATTCTATGATCAGCATATGCATTAGGGTACGCAACAGGGTGTGCATTAGGGTACGCAATTTGGCACACATGAGGGTATGCAACAGGGTATGCCATACGGCATGCAACAGAAATAGCCCTTCTCCACTGGCACCAAGGCATTTCCAACCGCAGGGCTGTACCAGACGCTGGCTGCACGCCGGCGCGCGCTCCGCAGCGGGCTCTGCTGCTCTGTGTTGAGATGTTCATTCCGTGGTGTGTCTTTTTTTTTTTTTTTTTTTTTAAAAGAGGGGATACGCTTTTTTTTTGTTGTTGAGATGTTCATTCCGTGGTGTGTCTTTTTTTTTTTTTTTATTATTAAAAGAAGGTATCAGCCTTCTGTTTGATGTGCTGTTGGCCACGGTTGCTAAGGGGAGCAGTGTACAATTACAGCCCCAGTGATGTCCACTCTAATAATACACTTGCCTCTGCATAGCTCAGATGCAGACACAGCTCTGCTATAAAGAGCACGGCCATTTCAACGGAGGAATACTCCAACTTATGTTACATGCAAAGGTTTTGGGGCACGTTGCTTAACATCCCCCCTCCCAAAAAAAAAAGGCACCCGAGCCAGGACAAGCCAGTGCGTGAAACTTCAACAAGCAAAAATCTCTCGCAGGTCACTTACTTTCAGTTTATTAATCAAGAAGGTATTTCTAGAGGGGTAAGGAACTATCCAAGTATCCACCAAGATGTTCTTGCATGCCTCCATCCACCCAAGTTCCTCAGGCACAATTCAGACAGGTCCATCCCCATGGGACAACGCAGCCCAAAATTGCTCCTTGTACCAAACGCCAAACCAATGAGCAGAAAATCAAACCCTAATGACCCCCATAGCGCTAAGCCCACAAATGGCAGCATCTCCCCCAGCCCAACCAGCCATCCACCTCATGATTCCCCTTCCTGTCTCTCCCCTCAGCATCACAAAAGTTTTGCATCACCCAAATTCAAGACTCAGCCAAAATTTGGGACCAGCACAGAGGTGACGGATAAATTCAAACCAGAGTTTTCCTGACATATCTCCTTAGAGCCTGAAATGGTGCAACGTTGGCTGGGTGGGATGCTTTTCAGAGGAGGCTGCTGGCAGAGAGGGGGATGACGTGACAGCATTCCCATGCCGCAGCTCTGGCATCTGTTTTGGGATCAAAACAAGTCCCCCGAGATAAGCTGCGAACATGTGCAGCGCCCGAGCACCTTGTCAACAGCTGAAAATATAAGAGGAGCCAGGTTAAAAAGACAAGTTTATTCAGTTTATTGCCTACTCTGTGGGAAAAAAACCCCATCCTTGCTGCTTGTCTTCAGGTCCAGAGGGGTATACAGATGTCTATAGCTGTCTATAGGTACTGGGATGCTGGTAGGATGGCTCAATGGTTTAATGCATTAATTTATGAGATTCCCTGGTAGGAATGAGCTGTTGCCATCACAGTCTGGAGAGAAAGGGACAAACAAGCCCCTACAAAACAGGAGCATCTGCTGGGAGCAGATGGAGGGTGAGTGGTCCAGCCCCAGGCGCCAGCAGCACAGAGAGGGGATCACGTTGATCCCGATTTATCACACCCCGGCAGAGTAATTCCCCAGCTCGCCGGTGCCTGGCGATCCGAGCTCCTTACGTCCAGGGATCAGATTAGTCTGAAAGGTGCTAGAGAGACATAAATCCAGCTCTGGAGCAAGCATTTTATTGAAGTTTGGGTTTTTTTTTTAATTAATGATAAATTATCTAGAAATGGCTGATGGAAAATATTTGATGGTGGAGGGCCCAGGAGTGGAGCTGGGTAATGTTATATCATCAACAGTATATCTATATCAATATATCATACTGATATTGATAATATATCATATATCAAGACCATCAACCATTTTATTTGAGATCAACACAGCTGCATCAGGTCTTTTACGCTTCTTACTTGGGTCTGATTCTAGCCAGGGCTATGAAGACTAAATGCATCACAAAAAAAATCCCAGTCTCAGGCTGACTGAAGTATTTAATGAATCATGGGAATACATCTGATTATTTTGGTTGGAAAAATCTCCTGTGCTTGGAGAAAGTAAAAATTCTTTACTATCAGAAAGGAAATGTTAAATTACTTAATTTACACAGCACTTTGCTTTTGACTCGTAGTGATCTGTCACCTCTTGCCCCATCAAGACATTTTTAAAAGATGTGCAAATCCTTTTTGCATATTTTTCTACACTCCAGCACGTGACCTCAATCACCCGCACACCCTGCTCAGTCTGTGCATTTCACTTCTTCCCAGATTCCCACAACGGACATCATGCTCCCATCACACCGAGACTGGCTACGTGTTCTTGGAAAGCACTTTGTGGC